CGATACATGTCGGGCCCCACCCCGAATGGGGTGAGGATAACTCACTTAATCGGGTATTAGGGGGCGGGGATGGGGACGGGAATTTCGCCATGGGGCAAGTTTGGGGAGGAGATGGGTAATGTGCGCCCCGCCTCGTTTAATTTTTTATTAAAATTCAATACTTTAAATGAAAAATTTCACGAAATTTCATTAGCTCTAATAGAAAATGGCAACTAAAATTATTTGTCGAGGGCAAATTCCCTTCTAATCTCCCTGGCTTCTTTATTGCAAAGAGAGAATACTCTATATATGTCAACAATTATCCAAAGGGCATAGGCATCATTCCATTCAATTACAAGCCTCAACTAATTATAAAATGCTGGGTTTGACATCAATGAGATTTTCTTGGAAAAAAGCTTTCGGGAATTAAAAAGGAAGAGAGGCTACTGTTGGCCCTTTAAACTAAATACTCGACATTTTACTCGAACATTCAAAATTCCAATTGTAAGCAACCCACGGAATAAATTTCTCTAAAAAGGCACTTTCACAATTCTTCGAAACTTCAACAACAACTTCTATGAAACTAACTAAAAGAAGAAACCCATATCACAATACAGAGACATCCCTTTACAAACAAAAAATTCATCACAAATCATCGAACCAAAATACAGATTCGCACAAGCATCACAAGTCAAACAGAAATCACTACAACAAAATGTACTTTTTACGGCATGCGGCCGCACGACATATAAAGCCATGCCGTAAAAAATGTTTGCTTTTTACTGCGTGCATAGGACGCCGTAAGAGAACGCCGTTATTACTTTTTACGACGTTCAGCCTCACGTCGTAAAAAAGTTATACTTTTTACGGCGTCCATTGCATGCCCTAAAAAAGAAAAGCAAGCCGTTAACATAGTTTTTACGGCATGCAATTGCATGCCATAAAAGGCAACTCTATTACGGCATGCAAGTGCACGCCGTAAAAGGCAATTTTTTAAAAAAAAAAATTATTTATTTACATAAAGGAATAAAATGAGGCTTTTCCGAAATTTGGAACTTCAAATCAATTGAGAAAACTAAAGAATACACAAGTACCAGAACTGTCTACAAAATGTTTGGAAATTGAGAATCCAATCTCTGATCTTCATTGACAGCTCGACTTATTTTTCATTGTAGCTCTGCAGTAGGGATTTTCTTCTCTTTATCACTTCCTTTAACTCACTCACTTATCTTTCAGCAGTTCAATGTTATCCCAATCCCCTCTCCCTTCTTCTGAAGAGTTGATTTTGCTTTCAACTTAGGGATATCCATTTGCATGGCCATTCTTCTCTTCTGCCTCGGCCGGGGCCACAGATGAACTGTAGGGGGGTTGCCACACAATGATCTGCAATTAACAAAGCAATGAACACCAATATCCACAACATTTCAAAGATATTTTTAATTAACTTACAGTAACCTTAACATGAAACTGGTAATCGACATCTGAATAAGTATATTCACATATACCAATTTGAAATCCAATTAATGAAACGATTGCATAAACCGCTAAGTTCATGTCACATGCCAGATTAACTAGAAAACTAAATAAATTTTTTTAACAACATTCAAACTCTAGAAGTACTTCAAATTCAAATCCTAAAGTTGAATTACAAACT